CGGATTGGTAGTGATTAAAAGTAGTATAAAAAATGTACGAGTTAATTAAACTATTATAAAAAATAACACCGGATTAACACCGCCCGCAACTAATTCAAAGTCATTACAAGTGTGTACGTCATACCCGGTTCCGGATAACTCGTTAGTTTTGATTTAATATTAGCTATTTCCCGTGACATCTTCCGCGTAGAATTTAACTTTATTATTATTAAAATAAATTAAATTTCTAAAATGAAAGTAGTCTAAGTTACTCTTTATTACATTAACTATACCTATGCGAGTGAAATCTCGTCAAAATCGGTTTATCCGTTCCGGAGATTAGCAAAAACAGACAGAAAGACAAAAATTTTGTCAATTACTTTTTTATGTAAGTACCATATATAAATTACGAGTACATATACATTTAGTGAAAAGCTGTTAATTTAATTGTAATACAGTAATATAGTTTGTGCATCACAATAATTAAATTTGTATATATTTTTTTGCATTTCATATGTATTATATAATATTTATTAGTAACTTTGTGTTTGTTTTTTGACATAACTGCCCCACAACGCTTTCTGTATACCTAAAGGTTAGCTGGTGGAGAATGCCATATGGCATTAAGCTCGCCTTTGTACAAGTTTTTTGTGCATTAAAGAATAAAATAAATAATATATAGGCTATATATTTCATATTAAAATTTAACGCCTGTGAAACCGCGAGCACAGATAAATAAATTAAATAGATACATATTAATATACCTAGATAAATTAGTAGTAGTAGTAATGGTATATTTTATCCACAAGTGGATAGGCAAAGGTATGACATACATACGGCCTAATCTTCAGTAGTATTTCCATGAGATTCAAAAATTCTTCAAGGCGATATCGCCAAATCTTTTCATTAATTATAAGTTTGTGTTAAGTCCATGTATGTGTCCATAATTGAAATGTTTATAATTCTCCGATAGTTGCTATGATGAAGTCGTAAATTGGTTTAAAAGTTGCAGTGCATTTGAATAGTTCTTGAAGCGATGGCGGAATAATCTTATATAGTTCTTGAAGCTTGGCAATGAGCAAAATTCTGTTTAAATTGAAGGCCGGGCAATCAAAAAATAAATGTAGGAATTGATCATGATGGTTTCAACGTATAATTTGTAAAAATCCACCATGATCACGGGTAAACTCTAAATAATAGATCATGGTGGTTGAAACATTACCGAAATATCGGGAACTCAGTAAATAAATATGAAACGTGGTAAGATCCCGTGATTTTTACTAATTATACGTATTAGAACATATATTTTTTGATTGCCCGGCCTTCAATTTAAACAGAATTTTGCTCAAAACAAGAACTATATATATATCGTTCAAGAACTATTCAAATGCACTGCAACTTTTAAACCAATTTACGACTTCATCATAGCAATATCGGAGAATATAAAATTTCAATTATGGACAAATCAAAATATAATTAACTTATAAACTTATAAGATCCCGTGATTTTTACTAATTATATACGTATAAATAATGACCGCGTCAAGTTTAAAACAGTATATATATGTTCTAATGTTTGATTTTCGTTACTAGATCATAAAAGACAAATCAAGATAAATTAGTAGTAGTAGTAATGTTATATTTTATCCACAAGTATTTCCATGAGATACAAAAATTCTTCAAGGCGATATCGCCAAATCTTTTCATTAATTATAAGTTTGTGTTAAGTCAATGTTTGTGTCCATTCAGTACCTGCAGATATGCCGCTCTGTGTTCCGTGACAGACAGTCTGACACCCGTAGTCAGTTTATAGTGAACGTTACTTTGATAGCGTTCATAATATCTGATATTAGACAATAAACGTACCGTCATCCATCAAATTAATGCAATGACATGTATAAAGTAACAAGAGTAACCTGACATTGAGGGTAACGCAGCTGAAGTCGAGTCACAACGCGAGTTTCAAAGCGTTTGTGGCCCTGGTCCCCACCGACTTGCTGCCCACCTTCATGAAAGACGACTACTGGCCGAAAGGTGTGGTGTATCGGCGCTACCGTGGCAGATTGCCGTCTTCAGTGCCGTGATCACACAGACAATATCGTTGTATTAGTTTTTAAATATTATATTATATGTATGTTAGTCTATAAGGTATTTATAATATAGGCCTAGTTGCCTGAAATAAATGAATAAATAAAAAAAAAATAGTGTTTACTTACTGACACATACAGATAAACAGCTAAAACTAATAACATAAAAGCAACAGAGTGTTAAAAATGGAGATTTTTATGATGGTGCACCTGCCTGCGCTAACGGTCTATATTGACGGGGCAATAGTGGAGGATGATAAGGTTAGTATGAGGTCAGATCAGATAGCATATCGTGAGAATGTAGGAATTGATCATGATGGTTTCAAGGGGGAACCGCATGGAGGTCAACCTGACATGGTACCAATGGGCAAATTTTTCCTTATTACCCACTAGCAGTCTTCGCGCTTTCAATCACACGAAATTTATAAACTAAATGTTGTTCTAATGTATAATCTATATTACTGTAAACATTCATCTAAATCTGTTCAGTAGTTTTTGTGTGAAAGAGTATCTAACATCCATCCATACTCACAAACTTTCAAGTTTATAATATTAATAATAAGATTTATCTTATATATAAAATTCTCATGTCACAGTTTTCGTTCCCATACTCCTCCGAAACGGCTTCTCACGGAATTTTGTGAGCGTTGAGTAGGTCTGAGAATCGGCCAACATCTATTTTTCATCTAAATGTTAGGGGTAGTCCACCCCTAAATTGAATTTTTTAATTTTTTAGTTTCTATTTTTTTATAATACAACATACAAAAATACATACAATCCTAAATTTTCACCCTTCTATCATCAACCCCTATTTTTTTATAGCGTTATTAATTTATATGGCAAAACAACGTTTGCCGGGACAGCTAGTTATATATAAATAAATGACAAAGTTCTGACGTGACATACATTAAAAAATCGAACTGAAAGCTTCTTTTTTTTTGTCGGCTAAAAAGGGTTAGAACTATCAATGATCGAGTCATTACTAGAGTTTTAACTAGATAATTAAATAGATTTTTTTATCGATTGCCTGCTTCTACCTTTGAAAACGAACTAACCTTTACAACAGATAAGAAAATATCCTTTACTAAAGTGACATATGAAATAAAACTATAACTCAAGATAAAAAGGATACATGTATTCTACATGTATCCTTTTTATCTATATTGTAGTATAAAATGAGGTGGAGTTACCGAGGTCAAAAGCCTCAGTGTCAAACTAAACTAGGTCACCTAGATATAAAAGGTGTTCTACCTTTTATATCTAGGTGACCTAGTTTAGTTTTTTTACAGGTTTTAAATGATAGAATGTTTAATTAATAGAATACCTAATCCTTACTAATATCCTTACTGATATTATAAATGCGAAAGTAACTCTGTCTGTCTGTCTGTCTCGCTTTCATGCCGAAACCACTGAACCGATTTAAATGAAATTTGGTACACAGATAGTCTAGACCCTGACAAAGGACATAGGCTACTTTTTAATGCAAAACAAGGGTTGCAAGGGGTTGAAAGGTTGAATTTTACGCGGACGAAGTCGCGAGCGCAGCTAGTAGGTATATATTTAATAGTTTCCTTACCCCAGTATCTACCCACAAAAGGCATTAAGTTGATAAAAGTGCAGTGGGTAAATTTTTGCAAGATGTTACACTGTGGTTGCTACATAATCTATATCATAACATAATCTATATAAAACTATGACTGATTTCCTCTTATTAATTGTTTAACCAGTTGGTTATATATTCAATATTTTTTCTATTTGAGTATTTAATTGAATAAGTGCTAATTGGTGGTTTGTATTCACACACTTAAACTTAAAAATGTAAAGTAATAATAAAATTATTAAAAGAGCAACACGCAAGTTTCTTGCTCGTTCTTCTTGTGATGAGGCTTTCCGAACGAGCGGTAGATTAAAAAATGTAATGACTATTCAAAATGCTTCAATGTAAGTTTATTTGAATAAATGATTTTCTATTCTTCTTCTATTCTTCTAATCATGACGACCTTGGTGGCATAGCGGTCCAGCACACCGCTTTATGTCCAATGGTCGCGGGTTCGATTCCTCGCACGGCACAAACATTTGTATTCACGAGTATGATTGTTTATATCGGTCTGGGTAATTTCTATGTATAATATGTATGTATTTACAAAAAAAAAATATCTATGTATTTGTATCAGTTATCTAGTACCCATAACACAAGCTTTAGCTAGCTTAACTTGGGACTAGATGGCGCTGTGTGAATTGTCCTGAGATTATTATTATTATTATATTTTTATTATTATAATCATCCATGTCCCTGAAAAAACTATGTACCTATCTACATAGACTGTATAGTCAAATATATAAAAATCTCGTGTCACAATGTTTATAACAAAACTTATATATTTATTTATGTACACACTATCATCACAGGCATATACAATAGTGCATCCAATATTACAATACCAGTTTTTTTTTATACCACGTAAGTGGCAAACGAGCATATGGTTTGGAGCTATTGTAATTTATATGCTAAATTACAATGCGGACCTCGTGAATTCACACAGACTACATAAAAAAAATCCGTTCCCTATTGAGAGTGGTCAGGGAGTGCGTCTGTGTTGTTTCCTTTTACAAATTAGTCCTGCCGCGAGGTACTGCCAGCAGCTGAGGCCTTCGTCGAAATAGCTTGACCGATTCTCATGAAATTTTATGAGTATATTCAGCAGTTCTGAGAACAGAACGTAAATTATTTTTCATACCCTTGAGTTGTAAGGGTGGTCTGCTCCTTAACCTTTCTTGCCCCTAAACCTTTTATTTATTTTTATTCCTATAATATAAAAAAAATTACGCATATAAGCGGCTAAAATGTCCTACACGAATAAATGATTTTTGACTTTGAATTTAGACTATTTTGTTACTTTTTATTTACGTCTAATTATTATTCTTTTCATTTCAGACGGATGGACTTTAAAACGCATTTATAATCGAGATAAATAATTGTATTGAATGTTTGCATAATAAATAAAACTTTACAATGACTGACGCGGTTTTGTATGAAAAACAACGCGTGCCACCTTTTATGAGACAGGTGAGAAATAAAACTTTTTACCCTGCATCAAAAGGTACCGGCTAAGTTTGGCCATGGCCATTGGCTGAGCTGAATCTGTATTCCAATTTTAAATTAAATATTTTTTATTTCATATCTCTATTTTGAAATCGGCTCATCAAGCCAAAAATATTTGAAGCGGAGGTATCTAATGTGTCTGATTAGACGGAGATAAAATAAAATGCGACTAATATGACACCGATATATAATAGAAAGTAGTAAATAAAGAAAATAGTAAATGGAAAAATAAAAAAAATAAAATTCAAAAATAATATAAAAATCTATCAAGGAGTTCGCATACAAAAACCTTAACGTTCATGAGCGGCTAAAATGTCCTACATGATTAAATTTGATTTTTGATTTGATTTGATTTGAAAACATTTTATTTCCAGTTACTGGCGGTAAGTGGAGTGGTCTTGTACATGATTGGCACAGGTGCTAACATTGCTTACCCTGGAGTACTGCTGGAGCAGCTACGACTTCCTGAATCCACACTGAAGCTCACTTCAGAACATGAGTCATGGATAGGTAAGACTCCTCCATAATTCAATACCATACTACAACAACACGCAAGTTTCTTGCTATTCCTTCTTGTGGTGAGACTTCCAAAAGAGTGGTACTTGTTGGCGCGCGAGTGACAATAGTAGACGGCTGTGAGGCCTGCGGGCACCGTGGGGCGTCCGAACCGGCATCAAACCCGAACTGCCACGGCGTCTCACTCGGTCATTATCTGCATTGGGCACCGAACGTTCACATCTCTTACATCTTGTAATATATACGTACAAATATCAATTTGACAATCCATTGCTAGTATCATTAAATCACCCTAGCGGGACCTAATCATATGATCCGGCTCGAAGGACCATATTATTAGGTCCTACTAGGGTGATTCAGCAGGCCCAGCAGCCGTCTACTAATGTTGGGCGCCAACAAAAAAAAATACTATTCTAAATGCTTTAACTTCTATTCTATTCTAGTATGTTAAATACCTTCTTTAATATCCGCATGATTCTACTGAGATAAATTAGGAGTAATCATTAAAAAATATTAATAGACTTGTTGATCTAATGTATTCTGTATTAAATCAACATTTCAGCATCCATCCTCGGCCTGGCTTTAATAACTGGCATTGTAGTAGCTCCATTCAGTCTGCAACACCTCGGAAGACGTGTCACCAATCAGCTTAGTACTCTACCATCAATGGGAGGATGGGCGTTGTTGGTTACCGCTAAAGGACCAGCTGCTTTATTAATCGGCAGAAGTTTACAGGTATTGAAATTTAAACTTTATATTTATGCTATTTAGTTTCTAAACTAGTTGATATTTTGACTGAATGTTCTGACTCTATTGAATTAGTGATGGTTGGTAGTTTTAATTCACACATTTCAACTTACAAATGTAAAGTTACTACAATTATTTAATAGAGAAACACGGAAGTTTCTTGCTCGTTCTTCTTGTAATAAGACAGCTTTCCGAATGAGCGGTAAAAGCAATAAAAAAAAGGAAGACTATTCAAAACTGCTTAAATTTAAGTAAAAAATACTTTTCTATTCTATTCTTTTACTGGAATGGTAAACTAGCTGATCCATTCACTACTCTATTTGGGAAAACAATAAGTCGTTAATGTTTTCCCAAAATTGTTTTTTATTGAATTATATGGACATATATTCGTATTACTAAACTAATTTATATTATAATGATTAACTCCGCTACTATCAGCATGTGTCTTCTTCTTCATCATTCTCTCCACTTCTCCTTACTCGGGGTCGGTTTTCCTAATCCTGAGGCACCATAGGTACATTTCGCTGGTAAGCATCGTCACTTGACAGGCCCAACTCCTTCATGTCCCTATGGACATTAGTCAACCAGGTAGTTGGTGGCCTACCTCGTCCTCTTTTTATTGTAGCCATGGAAAGGCACTTTTTCACACGTTTTCAGGTTTACGCAAAGTATATCACTAACCACTAAATATACCACCTAAGTCTACATAATTTCGGTAATAATATTACTCACTATCAATATAAAATTGAAGAATTTATAAATGATAATAATGTTATTGTAGAAAATATCTAACTATCTAACTTCATAGCGCTGACTGTTATCAGATTGAACAGAGATTAAGTGCGTAGCAGTTTCTATTATATGTTTATTGTCGCTTGCCTAATCCTTGTTAATATAAATCTAATTAAAACAATATTTATTTAAAAGAGCAACACACAAGTTTCTTGCTCATTCTTCTTGTGATTCATTCGGAATGAGCTTAGAATAAAAAAAATTGACTATTCAAAAGTGCTTATATTAAGTTTATTTGAATAAAGATTATTTCTATTTCTATTTCCGAAGCTGCCCCTTACTAGTTTCTGACTTTATCCCTAAGCGTGACTCCACCTACCCAACGAATCATACGCATTTCAGTAGTGTGTGGTTCTACTATTAGCATGTGTGAAATCATAAAATTTCAGTGCGGAAACTTGACCACCGCTACTGGACACGTAACAATCTTCTCTATTAATGTATAAATTCCAACCGTTATTGGATCTACACCTATATTGCGACACGTGTTTCGCTTTTAAACGAGACATCATCATCACATCTTCGGGGTGGCAATTGTTTTTCTCTTCCATTCATCTCTGTTCGCAGTCATTCCGTTATTTACTCCCATTCTCACCATATCATCTTTCACACAGTCCATCCATCTCTTTTTCGGTCTTCCTCTACCCTTATAACCATCCACATTCATAGCGTTGACTGCTCGGATATTGACGTCGTAGTTATAGTCTAGTCGCTGAATTAAACAGAATAATATAAATTCATTAAGTAATCAAATGGACTTCCTTAAAATAACACCCAATTTGTTAAAATATATATTAATAATAATTTTAATATATATTTTAACAAATTATACAGCGTCATCTTGTCCCAAGGTAAGCCAGAGCTTATGTTGTGGGTACTAGACAACAGATATAAATACATATATATTGGATTTAGCAATTAATAGTTTTAGTCTGCTATCTGCCATTGATTTCTCTGTCTCTATTATATTGTTTTTCTTCTTTTTTGTCGTCCTTCTTTTGTGTTTCTCGTTTACTTTCTCTCTCTCTCTCTCTCTCTCTCTCTCTCTCTCTCACACACACACACACACACACACACACATCTATATTACACTTTCACGCAACGTTCCATTTCATGCGTCAAACTATGCAATCTCACATAGATTGTACATTTTCTTGTTAGTACACACATGATATGCTTAAAAAACATCCAGACCGATTCAAATAATCATACTTATCAATACAAATGTTTGTACTGTGCGAGAAATCGAACCCCGGACCATCGGAATAAATCGGGGTGCGGGTCAATATATTCGCATGTAGATTAATTAAAGGTGTTTATATTTATATAAACGTAACAATTTTAACTAGTACAATGATCGAACCCACTTAAAACTGATCGTTCAATCAACGTTCGTTAATGAATGATGTCGACTTTATTCATTTGCATCATCAATTCGCATTCGCAATTCATTCAATTGACGAGGACATAAAATATCTTACATTTATACCACTTTAAATAGGTCTGCTAAATCGTAAAGTCACTTATTCAGTAGCTGACAGGTTTGCAACCGTTTCTGATTTAAAATAACGATAACATAATATCTCAGAGAGCCATCTAGTCTCAAGCGAAGCTGAGCTCGTATAATTTCCTTTTTTGATTTGATAGTATCTTTTTGATTTACCTTGGTGGATCAGTGGTTTAGCATACTGCTTTACTTCCAGTAGCTGCCGGTCGATTTAAACGGTGCAAACATATTCATCAGTATGAGTATTTGTATCGATCTGGTTGTTTTCTATATATATTACGAATGTATTTAAAAAATATATTTTAGCAGTACATTATATCAGTTCCAAAACACAAATCAACCGTTCGTAAGCTAGTAGTAAGCTTATAAGGTAAAATCATTTTCTACTTTCTAATTTACAGGGATTCGGGATGGGTGTGCAAGCTGCAGCCGCCCCTGTCTCCATCGCGGAGTACTCCGCCCCCAAGCACAGAGGCGCCTTCCTCGCCACTATAGCATTCTCGTTTGCTACAGGCATGCTGGTAGCCCACATCTTCGGCACCTTATTGTACTGGCGAACTGCTGGCATAGCCTGCGGGAGCTTCTACGTTGTATCCCTAATTCTAATATCCTTAAGTCCAGAAACCCCTCCATATCTTGCATCTAAAGGGTTAAACATTGAATGCAGAAAGTCCTTCAGATGGTTTCGAGGCTATGACCACATTTCAGAAAAGGAATTGACCGTTCTCCTGAACAGTCAGCGGAAAGAAGAGGCAACACATACAGGGTCCAGATGGAGAAATTATTTAGATATAGCAAAAAGGCAAGAATTTTATAAACCAACTGTGATTATGATGTTTATGTTCATCCTGTTTCAGATATCAGGCATGACTGTTGTACCTTCGTATACTGTTACTATAATGATGGAAGTTACTGGTGGGGCGATAGAATCTTACACTAGTATGCTTATGGTAGATGTACTAAGATTCGCAACTGCCGTTCTAGCATGTATCGTAGTGAATAAACTAAATAGGCGAACAGTCTTGTTCCTAGGTGTGACTATAAGTGTAGCGTCTCTATTACTTACTTCTATACTTCTGTATTTAAGAGACTTTGGATACATACCAGATGACTACAAATGGCTGCCTATAATACCAACAATGTCCTATATTTTCGGGAAAACTTTAGGCATCTTGCCAATTCCTTGGGCTATTGCAGGCGAAATATTTCCATTGGCGTATAGAAGTTTAGGTAGTGGCATCTCGGGGATGTTTTTGTCAATCATGTTTTTTGTGGTGGTCAAAACAGCTCCGGCTTCATTCAGGGATATCGGTGTGAGTGGTACTTTTTGTGTGTACGCATTCTGTATATCTGTCTGTGGAGTGTTCCTATATTTCTTACTGCCTGAAACTAAAGGGAAGACTTTGTACGAAATTGAATGCCATTTCAAAAACGCAGACGTAAACGTTAAGGATACATCTGAAAATGATAAGATGCTGGAATTAGAGAAAATAGAGGCGGGAAGGGACGAAGGGGAATGAACGGAACGATTAAGAATCTAGGGAAGATCTTGTGGGTGTCTCGGAGACCCAGGCTCAAGGTGTGATAAAAGATTTAATGAGATGTCTATAACCGGTACCTCGTAAGAGGTTTTATTACAAATAACTGTTGTATACTAAATAAACTATAGAAAAGATTTGTGACTTTTTTTTTTTATTTTTTTAAAACGTACAAATATTACAAAATTGATTATACATTGGACCTCGCACTAGGCGAACCTGTATCGCGGGAGTCCACAAAAGAATTGCCTAATAATTATTAACTATTACTGATCAGTGAGTTTGCCATATCAAAGTAATTAAGATTTTTTAGTTTGATTTCATAAAATCACAATTATATTTTATCTAAATAATAAACTATATAATATAAAAAACTTTAAATCCATAGCACTGACTATATTATCTGATTACACTAAAAATGAGTGCATAGCGATTTCTATGTTGATTATCGCATGCCTCTTACTTGTTATACTGTAATTATTTATATACATCTATTAAAAAGAGCAACACACAAGTTTCTTGCTCATTCTTCTTGTGATGATTCTGCATTCCGAATGAGTGGTAGAATCAAAATATGACTATTCAAAAGTGCTTGTAATGAGTTTATTTGAATAAAGATTACTTCTATTTCTATTTCTATCTTAACCAAAGTGTAAAATGGCGATCGAAATTAAAATTCTAATTTTAAATGATTTAAATGATGGAATGGTAATCTAGACTGCGCCAATGGTACTATGGGCAGCATTGAACGATGAAAGGAAGAAGATGAGTGCTGAGCTGGTAACCCGTAAGAGGATAAGAATCTAGATATGTATTCATCACCACTGATACTGGGGTATACTGCAGTGGTCCATCACAAACGAGGGATATTACTTGTCGTACTAAAAGAAATCCATTACTTTTGTTAATATTAGAAAGAGAAGTGATTTGTATATCAGAGAGTAACGTAGAATAATAATCTAATAAATTTGTATGTGAATGAATGACTTGTGACAGTTACAGCTTCCAAGGGCGTTGCAGAAGACAACTTGTATGTGAATGAATGACTTGTGACAGTTTCACCCTCCAAGGGCGTTGCAGAAGACAACTTGTATGTGAATGAATGACTTGTGACAGTTACAGCTTCCAAGGGCGTTGCAGAAGACAACTTGTATGTGAATGAATGACTTGTGACAGTTACAGCTTCCAAGGGCGTTGCAGAAGACAACTTGTATGTGAATGAATGACTTGTGACAGTCGATCATTTCCAAGATGAAAACATACAGTAAGTCCTTGACTTTGTCCACCGTTGATAAAACTCCTTCGTCTACACATGTCTAGCATTGATAAGCCGATAAGCCAAAGATTAAAAAATATATATAAGATATTGTCGCGTCCATAAACTATTATATTCTAGGAATACTTTATACTTGATTAAAAAAGTACCTAATAGTATTTAAAAAAAATCAGTAAATAAGTAATCAGTTCCGATAACATACGAGTCAGTCGATTCAGTGCGAATTCAAAAATTATATGAAATGTAGTAATAATTATTATTATACAGTCCGGTTCTTCCCCGCTGTGATTGTCCAGATTTTTTTTTCTGACGTGTTTTATAACAGTAATTACAGGATATAAAAAAAACATACAACGATAAAACATATGAATAATGATTATATGTAATAATAATGTATATCTAATAATAATATATTAATACAGTTTATAAAAAAACTAGATATAAAATCGTATAAAATAAATAGAAAATAAATAAATGCGTTACTTAATTATCTAATTATTTATATTTATATACAAAAGAAAATAAATTTATTTATTTAAACAATTTTGTTAAACATACACCTTTATCAATAAGTAGCAACTCTCACGGATGCATTGCAAATCTTTGAATTTCTTACATTATTCTATACTATATCACGCATGCATTATACATATAAACCTTCCTCTTGAATCACTCTATCCATTGCTGAAGACTACATTAAAATCTGTTGCGTAATTTAAAAGATATAATCAGACAGACAGCGACGACGACTTTGTTTTATACTATATAAAAGATATCAATAACTTATTATACTATAACTGGTTAACATAAATAGTCAAATTAACAAAGATATGGTCTTACTTATTTACATGTTAATACCGATTTTAAAAGAACTTTTACTCGCAGATAGCTATATTAGAAGGAGTGATTTAAGCTACTTTTATTTTAGAAATTTAACTTAAACTAATAAAAATAAATCTACGCGGGCGAAGAGGCAGTTAGCATTTTGTACAGAAATAAATTTAAAACCGTTCATATTAAAACATGTATTTATTTGAAAAAAAAAAGTGAATTTCTATTAAATAATAATATATATATAAATAATAATAGAAATGTAGAATTCTGCATTACAGTGTAACCTTTGTATAAGAGTCACATTCCAACTAGTAAAATAATCCAAACGTGGAAGTTTCAGAGTATGGATGGATAGATGGATGTATGGATGTTTGTTTCTCTTTCACGCAAAAACTACTGAATGGATTTTAATGAAACTTTACAATAATATAGCTCAAACATCAGAATAACACAGGCTATAAATTTCACGCGAATGAAACCGCGAGCACAGGCATTATATAAAAAGAATAGCTTCTGTCTATAAATTCGACCATGCGGTATTTGTCGCCCGGTATATGAAGTAATATGTGCTACCTCCATCCCAAATGTTACGTACTATAGACGCCAAATTGCATGACGATTTGTTAAGCCGTTCCGTTTTGTATTATTTTTCATTTTAATTTATCTCTTGTACGAATTAAAGTTGATTACGCAAAGTAAACAATTTTAAATCTGTAATCAAAATAGTGTTATATATATAATAATATATAATAAAAATCAAATAAATATGTAGGCACAGACCGATTGTTATCGGTATGTGATTTATTTGTATAATTTTTTTATATGACCCGTATTTATACTATACAATAAAATATGAAATCAGTATATTTTTAAAATCACTGAATGATTTGCCTTTTTTTACTGTTCATCGAAATTATATTATTTTTTTATTATCAAAACGTGATATATGTAATACGGCTAAAAGAATTATTCTAAGAATACACACGTAGGTACAAAAAAGTTATAAATTTCTGATAAAAATACCCGAAATAGGTAATGTATATAAATGATTTATTACTACAAATTTGGATTATCATTAAAATGTTCACATAATCGCGAATTACGAAATGGCGTCTTGGTTATTTTAGGATGTTTTTGACATTTTATTAAATTGATTGTTTATTAATCATTGTATCTTTTATAATTTTTATTTATCAATTAAATCGTAGTTCTATTTAATTATAAAAGTTTTTGAAGTTGAAATTTATAATTATACACTAGCTACTCGCACGGGTATATATATGTATTATACATATAAATCTATCTCTTAAATCACTCTATCTGTTGCTAACAACTGCATTAAAATCAGTTACGTAGTTTAAAAGATTAAACGAACAGACACCGGAAGCGACTTGATTTTATACTATGTAAAGAGACTACAGAAGACTATTAAACATGTTTAATATTTATAATCTTGTGTAATCCCGAACGAACTAGTTAACTAGAGAGAGCACTCTGGGAAACGAACTATGCGAACTATATGCTGAAATCTTTCGGTTTCTAGTTAATTTTTTTTTTATAACACAGGGGACAAACGAGCATGCGGCTCACCTGATGGTAAGTGATTACCGCCGTCCATGAGCACCCGCAACACCAGGGGAATTGCAAGTACGTTGTCGGCCTTTTAAAAAGGAATAAGCTCTTTTCTTGAAGATTTCAATATCGTATCGATTCATTTGAAAAAATACTACAGCAGTCTAGCTAAGAAAAGAATGGATTCACATTACCTTGTTTAATTCTGTTGTATAGTAATTTGTAAGTAGTTGGAAGTCGAACTGGCAACTCTAAGCTTCTATGGTATACCCTCTGGATAGCCTCGTTCAGAGGCGAAACACGTGCCACAATATGGGTGTAGACCACAGATAATATAATATTACATAGTGTAGACACAATAACGGTCGGAATTTGATCAACAATAGAGATGGCCGTAACGCTACCTTTAGCGATGGTCAGTTTTTCGCACTGAATATTTGTGGTCTCACACATGCTAATGGTAGCGGATTTAAAAAAAATAATATAAATCAATTAAGTAAAATGTAAAATATAATGCATAAATAAAAGAATACTTTTACATTTTGAAATAGGGTTTTTTTGTTTGAAGAAATATTCAAACTGCTTAATTAACATAATCTCAGTTCAACCTCTGGTAACTGTTGCGTAATCTATACATACAAATAAAATTGGAGTGTCTGTTTGTAATATTGATATAACCGTTTTTTACTACATACATATGAATATAAATACGGTACAAAAATAACATTTTTTACCATTTTTGTCTGTCTGTCTGTCTGTCTGTTTGTACCGGCTAATCTCTGAAGTGGCTGGACGGATTTTGACGGGACTTTTTTGGCTGATAGCTAATGTAAGAAGGTGTAATTAAGGCTACTTTTATTTTTGAAAAATGAAGTTAAATCCCACGCGGACGCAGTCGCGGGAATAGCTAGTTATATAAATAAGAACGAACCTACGGGCAGAGCTAATATCACTGTTGTAGCACGAAATGTTGAATAATGTTATAGTTGAGATATTTACAATCAGTCAAAAATTCATTTAGATCGTTCACTACCAAACATTCTCTATCAATTTTTAAACACAACTTTATTTTCCAAAACGACTTTTTATATTATTCTTATATATTTCATTGTGTAACTATATTTTTTAAAAATCACTACTAAACTCTGTCAATTTTCTAACACAATTCTAATTTCCAAAACTATTTTTTGTATTATTTTTAAATGTTTTAATGTGTATCGATATTTTATAAAAATTGACAGTTAATGAAGACTGGATTATGAACGTTTTAAATGTTACACTTAATTCCAACATTACCACATTCGATTAAATACTAGGCTAGTCCTTTCTGACTGAACTGCATTGTTCTATTCTGTTCATGGTTGTAGTGTTTCCTTGTTTAATGGCTCCAATTGCTCCTCATCTAATGACAATGAACTCTCTTGCGTTTGTTTTTCCACTTGTGCCTCTGACTGGTGTAACGTCTCTGATGCCTTTGTATCACTACGTGTGACGCCTCTTAAGTTATCCTCTATTTCTTGTAACGTTTTACCCTTTGTTTCCGGTAACGTAAAGAACAGGAACACCAAACAAAGTAGCACCAATCCACCGTATATGATGTACGTCATCGGCAACCCCACAGCTTCCGTAAGAACTGGGAAGCATTTAACAGCCACGAAGAAATTTATTGAGAGTGATAAGACACTCAATCCACCAGCTAAGCCTCGATACTCTAACGGGAATATTTCGCCAGATATTGCAAATGGCATTGTTGAAATACCAATAGTTAATGAGAACATATAAATAGCTATCAAAGCAATGGGTACCACTTGACTGTCGGATGTAATATAACCTTCCTGCTTGGCATAAACGTACATCGCTTTGCCAAAGTACGATAAAACGCATATGGTACCACTTGAGAACAATACAATTCTTCTGTTGTAGTTCCTCATCACGTACACCGCTAATATGTTGCAGATCAATCTCTCTACGTCCAACGCTATCATTAGCACTCTTACGTTTGCTTCTGGTCCCACCACTTGCCTTATAATGTCCATAGCATACGAACTTATCACATTCAGTCCAGCCAATTGGAATACGAAGTATACCACCACCATTATTATTATTGGCTTGTAAAACTCGGGCTTCTTAAAGCACTGTCTCAAATATATAAAGTAATTTCTCACTTTTATTGTAAAAGGCAAATTTTCATCTTTATTGTTGACCGTCGTTATCATCCTTTGAGCGGTCATCATTTTATCTAACTCGTCCTCTTGCCGAGTTCCTTTACCACGCATATAATAGAATACTTCAGCTGCTTCCTCGTAGCGTCCTTTCGCTATCAACCAAGATGGCGATTCCTTTGTATAAAGAATCATAACCAAACTGGTGAAAGTGATAAATGAACACATCAAGGCGCATTGTTGCCAAGTATAAAAGGTGCCTAAAGTGTGGGAGACCAGGACTCCTATCGACAGGGATAAGGACACGCCAGTCAGGAAAGCACCACGGTTGATGGGGTCCGTCATTTCCGCTATGATGATAGAACATAAAGGTCCCAACATGCCCATAGCTACACCTTGAAGCAGTCTTGCGAAAATGAGACCGCTAACGCTGTTAACTATGACCAGAATAAACCAGCCAATTAGTAAGGGGAGTGCGCTCAAAATATGAGTCTTCTTTCTTCCAATTGTCCCCAATATCAAAGTTATAATGACATTGCCAACGATGAGGGCAAAGCCGATTACTGAGGCTGAAATAAAAGAAATACGTCAAGTTAATTGAAAATTGATGAACTAACCAGATAAGTAGTAACTGGCGCCTATGTTGTAATATTTATGAGGGTATATGATTAATGTAGTGGGTGCATTAATAATAAATTCAGTCTTCAGTCAAACTCCCAGAGTCTGTACTCAATTTGCCAGAACAAAATTCAAATGTGTCATAAAATATTGACTTTGTAAAAAAAGCTTATTATAAAATTGAAGAATTTATAAATAATAATGTTTTTGTAGAAAATATCTAACTTAGAATTCATAGCGCTGACAATGTTATTTGATTGAACAGAGATTAAGTGCGTAGCGATTTCTACGCCTAATCCTTGTTGTTAATTAAATATAAGTAAATCAATATTTATTTAAAAGAGCAACACACAAGTTTCTTGCTCATTCTTCTTGTGATGAGTCTGCATTCCGTATGAGCGGTAGAATAAAAAAACTTGACTATTCAAAAGTGCTTATATTAAGTTTATTTGAATAAAGATTATTTCTATTTCTATTTCTTGGTCGAATTTGCATTTTATTCACAACATGGTGACAGCGGTGGGATACGAACCCACGCCTCCGAAGAGACTGGTGGCATAAATATGAATAGTGAGTAAAATTGTAGTCAAACGGTGTGAACATTGAATCTATGAATGAAGAAATGAATTTTAAAATGATGAATGATGTTCTATCATCACTAAATTTAGCTTTACTGGTATGAAATAATGATTTTGAATTTTTTTGGGATGAATTTTGAACGAAATATGATCACAGAATTACTGATTTTGGCTTGGACAATAGAAGCCGAACACCAATGAAAAACGTAGCAAAAACAATTATAGACGAATTAATTCAAATCTAAGAAGCTTTATAATTATTTTATGACATTGCTTATGACTTTTTTAGCAAGTAAATTTTTATTTTGAAAGGAAAAAGATAAAATGGCATGTAGCAGCATACTTTATATATAGGTGAATATATAGGTATTTATTCTGTAGATCCTGAAACACACGATACTCACAAATATAATAATCTGTACATCTATACATATAAATAAAATCGGAGCGTCTGTAATATTTACCGTTTTTTACTACATGCATATGAATATAAATGCGATACATACACCAAAATAACATATTTTACAATTTCATCTGTCAGAGATTAGACGGAACAAACAGTGTTCCGGCTAATCTCTGAAATTACTGGACCGATTTTGACGGGACTTTTTTGGCAGGTAGCTGATATAATAAGGAGTAACTTAGGCTACTTTTATTTTAGAATAAATCTATGTTTTTTAGGGAAAAAATTTTAAAAATTCCACGCGGAAAAGTGGCGGGTACAGCTAGTCTTATATAATATAAAATGAACTTATACAATAAAACACACACAAAACAAAAGCATTGCAAGAATTAAAAAAAATATTCGTTTACTCACCTATCCATGATTCTTCTGCAACTGTAGCCTTGATATGCGACTCTGGTTTCCGTAGACTGGGTATCAGGATAGCGGAGAAGCCTATCACACATCCATGGCCCATTACGTTCATACAAACGCTGACAGTTAAAAAACACTGGAAGAAACAAACAAAATTTCTTTACATTCTGTTTATGTAATCTTCGTAAACAAATAACGGACCACCTTATGGAGTCGTAACCTTTTGTATGTACATATATAGTTCTTATGTATGTGTGTTTGTCACCTAACTCCTCGTACACGGCTGAACCGATTTAGATGAAATTTTGTATTTCGATGGGTTCTTAACTGGTTTTATATATATAACATGAACACAAAAAGGGCATGTTCTATGGAAAGCAAGAGCGTAATATTAAAAAATAAAAGAGTATTATAATAAAAAGAAATTAAATTATATTATTTTGTATATTTGTTTGTAACGAATGACGGCGTCGGTAATCTAGTTTAGGACGACGCTTTTTTCAGGTGGTCGCGCGTTCGATTCCTCGTACAATACAAACATTTGTATTCATGATTATGACTGTTTGTTGTTCTGGGTGTTTAAAATGTATATTATATATGTATTCACAAAAATGTATCTAAATATTTATATCAATTGTCTAGTATCCATAACCAAGTTCTGCTTACCTTGGGACTAGATGGCGCTTTGTTAATTGTACAGGGATATACTACTATATCTATTAAATAACAGATATTCGAGATAATTTACACAATGACAATACAAACAAACATATTCATTAATACAAATGTTTGCGCCGTGCGAGGGAAGCATTTCTCCGAAAAGATTTCACAAAATCTACATCTGGTTATTAGATTCGAACTAATAATTACATTTAAAAAAAAACATATAACAAAATTTCTTCCCTGCTTGAAAATAGAGGTTTATTTAGGTACTAGCTATTCGCCCCTGCTTCGCACGGGTGTACATGTATTATACATATAAATCGTCATCTTGAATCACTCTATCTATTAAAAAAACCCGCTTCAAAATCCATTTCATAGATTTAAGCATACATATGGACGGACAGACTGCGACAGCGACTTTGTTTTTATACTATATACTATAGGTACGTACTGAAATCTATTATGACATGAGTTTTTGCATACCATTTAATACAAAACAGCGTACTTGCATTTATTAATGAAATTTTTTCCTCAATTCCACGATTAATTTTATCGTTACGATAATTATAGAATTTCCTATATATACATACATTTAATACTATGCTCTGTAACAGGGAATACAAAGTAGCAAACTATACAATACTATATACTAGCTTTTACCCGCGGCTTTGATCGCATAACTTCATTACGAACTAACTACCTAGCTAGATGGTGCTGAAGTAGCAAAAAGTTGATATTTTATTTATTTAGATTTAAAAAAATGTTTTTTTTTAATATAAAGTATCCTATGTACATTCTAATATCTACAAGAACCTGTACATGTACATGTACAAAACAAAACATGTACAAAATTTCACGATGATCGGTGCAGTAGTTTTTGCGTGAAAGCGTAACTACAACAGCCTAATTTCACATTTATAATATTAGTAAGGATTTTATCAGCCACTACTATCAATTTAATAATATTAAATAAATTAAATTAACTAATAAAATAATAAAAAAAAATAGTTTTCTTCAAATTACCTGCCGCAAGAACGGCACTGACGACTCCTTAGTCTTTGGTTTTTCGTCTTCCATTTTAAAAATATATATATAACTGTATTAACAAATAATACTGGCAGTCGATTTAAAAAAATAAATCATATATTTTTTTTCACAAATAGAACATATTTTATCTGTCACTGAACGCGTGTTAAAGCACTATTTTTTTTTAATTTCGTTCAACCGTACACCATGCTACAGAAACACTTCTATACGTATATCGACAGTATTATATAGAATATGACTTGAACGTTATATTGTGTCCATTAACTTTTATAATTACATTCGACTTCAAAGTCAATTATTTTCATAAGATAACAATTAGTCGAGATTAGATAGTACAATCTATGCTGCAATATATATACATACATATATTTTGCTGAATAGAAAAATCAAGCTTTACAATTACTATATAGAAACTAATATATTACTATAAAGTGACCAGTTCTTTCTTCTTTCTGTTCCCGAAGAACATAGAAGAATACAGTTTCTTCTATGTTCTTCGGGAACAGAAAGAAAAAGTGAAAGTTAAGTTGGTATGAAAATTAGGATTTTTTCCAGTGAAGGTATGAAAAACCTGATGTCTTTCTTTTTTTATCAAATGATAGTTATATAGGTGTGTTTTTTAAAGGATAGTATGCAGTTAGGTCAGTGTGAATTCGCTAGGAATTAACGATGTTTTCCAGGAGGAACCGTGTGGAAGTCGACCCCATTGATATCAGCTACACACTATCAGCACAGATAAGAAAACATGTAGTAATATTATCTAATGTTTGGTATTATTAAAAATCACCAATTCTTGTATATTAACTAGAGATAGACTGTAAAAAGTCGTCTGCGTGGATGACTCTTTCTCACCTATTTCAGCCACTAAGCAGCTCATATATGTAAGTTGTGTTTCAGTTGTAGGGTGCTAATTAATCAATGAAAGAGGCATAACATCTCACATCTCTGGAATGACTTGTATCACATGATAACGTGATATCCGTAGTGCTGTTCAGGTATCGGTTACCACTTACCATCAGATGGGCCTTTAGCTTATTTGCCCTTCCAATTACGGCCTCAATAGTCTAGCGATTTAGCACATCTTACTTCCAATGGTCGCTGGTTCGATTCCTCGCACGGCACAAACATTTGTATTAATGAGTCTGATTGTATCGGACTAGCTGTCAGCTTGTTTGAAATTACATAAAAAAAATATTATTTACTCTTACAGATAAGGTAAACAGAAATAGGCAATGGACCGTATTGACATCAACCGCGGGCCGCATGCAAACCGCGGGCCGCGGTTTATACAGCTCTGCATTACAGAATTACGCGGGAAATTGCGGACGTATACATTTTTTTTATTTATGATAATAGAAGGGTGCATCCCCCTGTACTAACGGTTTACGCTGGCGGGGCACCAGTGGAGGATGATAAGATGAGCATGACGTCATCTCTGTTTGTATATCGTGACAAATTCATCAGGAATTTATCACGATGATTTCCAGGGGGAACCGCCTGAAAGGCAAACTGACATAGAACATTCATGTAGGACATTTTAGCCGCTTATGAAAGTCAAGTTTTTACATTATAATTTTTTTTCCCTACCGTCCAGTTCGGTATGTAGATCCAATTGGAAAGAACTGGCAAGAAACTCAATTGGATTACTTTTTTTTTAAAAGCCAGTTTATTTACAATGCATAGGTATTTATTTAGGTGTCTATGTCTAACATTAAATGAAAATCCCGTACATGAAAAGCTATTGCCATGCACGCTCGTCATTCAAGTCTGTATATAGGCGGTGGTCAGTCAATAAGATCATCAGTCCACATTACTAACAATCCGCTTTCCCCCGCCTGTACACATTCACATGGCTACATTGAATAGAATTCCCTCCGATTGATTCCCCGTACAATACAAACGGGGATCGAAATTACGACGGCCTAAGTCAAGGTTCGAACCCTAATGGTGCCCTCAGACTAAAGACGTATCCGTCATGCGGGAGATGGCCTTCAACCGCTCCATAAGTCCTTCCGCGGGTTTGGAGTGTCATCTGCACTCGCCTCTTATCATCCTGTGAAGCTGTAATGCTACGTTTACATTCAGCCGCTTCCCCTGCCACTCGCGCTGCCGGGCGACAACTGAGCGAGAGGGCTGAATGTAAAAACACGCTGCCACTCGCGCTGCCAGTCCTTTGACTCGCGCACGAAAAACCGATAATCGCCGGGCAGCGCGAGTGGCAGCGCGAATGGCATGGGAAGTGTTTACACTCTCGCGCTGCTCACTTCCCTGCCCACTCGGGCTGAGTGTAAATGGGGCATAAATGCTAGCTGCACCCAACACCATTAGAGTAGTTCGAAAAAAAAGCTGAATATATACAGTTATGTAGGATATTACTGAACAAAACAATAACATTAGAGGCATGTGTAATTGCATCATTAACGTGTTACCTACACCTACATTACGCAAGTATGGAATTTAATATACATGTAGAAGGTAATGCAGATAATTTGGTAGCACCGTACGTGTATGACAAACATATAGAAAGAAGAACAAACGAAGTCGTAATTATGTGTACTTTATGTGATAATAAATGGTTAGTCGAGGATTTGTTGAAAGAATTTGATGCATCCGGAGTAGTAGCTGAATCACACCTACTTTGCAATTATAACTATAATAATAATAATCTCAGGCCAATTCACACAGCACCATCTAGAGTTCTAGACCCAAGTTAAGCTCTAAAGCTTGTGTTATGGATACTAGATAACTGATACATATACAGAGATATTTTTTTTATAAATAAATACATATTATACATAGAAAACACCCAGACCTATACAAACAATAATACTCATGAATACAAATGTTTGTGCCGTGCGAGGAATCGAACCCGCGACCATCGGTCGTAAAGCGGTGTGCTAGACCGCTAGACCACCGAGGTCGTCAATAGACTATGTATATGTTATTTCTCTAACTATGGGATCTCTTGAACAAGCTCAGAGTCACTTAGAGGGCAATGGAGAGGGCTATGCTCGGAATTTCTCTGCGTGATCGTATCAGAAATGAGGAGATCCGCAGAAGAACCAGAGTGACCGACATAGCCCGAAGAATTGCGACACTGAAATGGCAATGAGCAGGGCACATAGCTCGTAGGACAGATGGCCGTTGGGGCAACAAAGTCCTCGAGTGGCGACCACGGACCGGAAGACGCAGCGTGGGAAGGCCACCAGCAAAGTGGACAAACGATCTGGTCAAGTTCGCTGGATGGCGAGCTGGATGCGAGCAGCGCAGGACCGATCATCGTGGAGATCTTTGGGGGAGGCCTATGTCCAGCAGTGGACGTCTTCCGGGCTGCGATGATGATGATGATGATATATATTACTGTAGAGTTTCGTTAAAATCCATTGAGTAGTTTTTGCATGAAAGAGTAACAAACATCCATGTATACATCCATACTATAAAAAAGTAATCATGATAATCATTAGCCCACTACAGTCCACTGTTGGACATAGGCCTCTCCCAATGCACGCCACTGAACAAGATCTTCTGCCCTTCTCTTCCAATTACTACCTACAACCCTATGTATGTATGTCGTCGCTCTACCTAGCTGTGAGGCTTCCTACACTACATTTGTCCATTCGCGGTTTCTACTCCAGAACACGCCTATTCCAGCGAGCATAAAAAAGTAAAATTACATTAAATACGATAGTACAATTCCTACATAAATAATTAAATATATCCTTAATTATATGTGTACGCATTAAAATATAACTATTAGATATCTTTGTTCTAAGGTTAGAAGACTGTACAAAGAATACAGAGGTAAATAAAGTAGGTTGTTTCTACCATATAAATATATAATAATAGTGTAAATTTAAAGTATTATAACTTTTTATAACAATAAAACACTAATGCCAAATATTAGTAGTCTATTAATACAACCAGAAGTAATACAACCGTTTTAATTTTCCCGCGCAAATAAATGTTGTCACAGATTAATTATTAAAATACGCACGACGCGTCGCGACGTGCCGCTCATTATAGCTGTATTATGTAATATTGTCCTAACTGTGGCTGTATGTTAAATATAAGTATTAACTTAACAACTCCAATTGAGTGATGGGGTTGTTTGTAATGAGGAAAAATAATAATGAACAAAACCATGTCCTCCTAGCGAACGTCGTTTTCAATTCTTGGTCAATTCGCCATGATAGGACGGAGCTAACGTCACATTCATGCTATCATAAAAAAAACATATATAGTACTTCAATACTAACTATTAGCATATTGGTAACACCCAGTAGTCATATGTCCATCCATTTTGAGTTGAATGTTATTACAACTAACGCCATCTGTTATGTAGTAGTGATACTTTTACTGTAGTCTTTATAGTTGCTTATTTAAAACCAATGCTTTAAATCACTAGCATAAATTTGCAATTCATGGCAAGTCAATTAATAGTGTTTTGCTGTTATACTTTTATAAAACAAATATAAGTATCGCAGGCATCAGGCGGCTTACCTCAGGGCATATTCCCACAGTAATGTTTTTATGTAATATTTCCTATTATGTTTATTCTTAAATAATCCAACTGCACATATATATCCAAGTTAATACACGAATGGCGCTACTATAGCAATACTACTTTTGTAGAAGTTACTACACCTGTGAGTATTCAATGTTGCGAAACTACATAGTTAATCTTATATATTTTCTTTCCAGAAGAATTTAAATGAAACTCAGCGCATAGACTTGAGTTCATGACTCATACAAATACAAAGGAGTTTTTATTTAAAAAAATATTAGATAGGTATATGGCTTATTTCATGAGAATGAAATTCATTACGGTCTAAATAATTGGTACTATTAATCTGTAAGAACTATATAGAACATTTATATATTCAAAAACTAAAATGGTAACTTGACTTCTACAAGAAATTACTATTTATTTAAAAATAGTACAGTTAACTTGAATTTGGTTATAACATCTATTAGGTAAAACCTACTATTATGTGTGATGTGATTTCAAGAAACAACACATTCGTAACTTAATCAATTTATTTTTTATTCATTCTACTTGTACAACATGATGATCATCTGCTGCAGTTTTAATTAATATCAGTCTTAAACTTATTATCACAATACCTATATTAGAACAAAATAAGACTAGAACTAAACTACTGAGACTGTCCACTTAATCAACCTCCTCGACGGTGGGCCCGTCGCCCCTGGGCTGGTACGCGTTTCCTCCGGGCGCTGCCCCGGTCGCGGCGCCGTGCAGCTTGCTCATGATGGGCGAGCACGCGCGCTGCACGTCCTGCAGCTTGTGCTCGTACTCCTCCCGCTCGGCGAGCGTGTTGTTGTCCAGCCAGCGCAGCGCCTCCTCGCACTGGCTGCGCGCGGTGCTCTTGTCCTGCTCGCTCAGCTTGTCGCCGGCCTCCTCCAGCGCCTGCTTCACGCCGAACACGTACGCCTCCAGCTGGTTGCGCGCTGCCACCCGCTGCCGCTGCTTCTCGTCCTCCTCCTTGTAGCGCTCCGCCTCCGACACCATGCGATCGATCTCGGCCTGCGACAGGCGTCCCTTGTCGTTCTTGATCACGATGTTCTTGCTGCGCCCCGTGCTGTTCTCCTTAGCGGACACGTTCAGGATGCCGTTGGCGTCCATGTCGAAGGTGACGTCGATCTTCGGCACTCCCCGCGGCGCCGGCGGTATGCCGGTCAGGTCGAACGTGCCCAACCGGTTGTTGTCCTTGGTCATCGCGCGCTCGCCCTCGTACACTTGGATCGTGACGGCGGGCTGGTTGTCCGAGTACGTGGTGAACGTCTGCGTCTGCTTGCACGGGATCTTGCAGTTGCGCTCGATGATCTTCGTCATGACGCCGCCCGCTGTCTCGATGCCCAGCGATAGAGGAGCCACGTCCACCAGCAGCACGTCCTGGATTTTGGAGTCGCTCTCGCCGCTCAAGATGGCGGCCTGCACGGCGGCGCCGTAGGCCACCGCCTCGTCGGGGTTGATGGAGAAGTTCAACTGTTTGCCGCAGAAGAAGTTCTGCAGTAGGCTCTGCACCTTGGGGATCCTGGTGGAGCCGCCGACGAGCACCACATCGTGGATCTGGCTCTTGTCCAGTTTGGCGTCCTTGAGGGCCTTCTCCACAGGCTCCAGGGTGCCGCGGAACAGGTCCGAGTTGAGTTCCTCAAAGCGCGCACGCGACACTCGCGTGTAGAAGTCGACGCCTTCATAGAGCGCGTCGATCTCGATGGTGGCCTCGGTGCTGGAGGAGAGCGTGCGCTTGGCGCGCTCGGCGGCGGTGCGCAGACGGCGCAGCGCGCGCGGGTTAACAGTCATATCTTTCTTGTACTTGCGCTTGAACTCTTCCGCGAGATGGTTCACCAACCGGTTGTCGAAATCCTCGCCGCCGAGGTGCGTGTCGCCGGCCGTCGCCCTCACCTCGAATAGGGAGCCCTCGTCGATGGTAAGGATGGACACGTCAAACGTGCCGCCGCCCAGGTCGAAAATGAGCACGTTGCGCTCGCCCTTGAGGTTCTTGTCGAGGCCGTAGGCGAGCGCCGCGGCGGTGGGCTCGTTGATGATGCGCAGCACATTCAGGCCGGCGATGGCGCCCGCATCCTTGGTGGCCTGTCGCTGTGAGTCGTTGAAGTAGGCCGGCACTGTGATCACTGCGTCGCGCACCGCCGTGCCCAGGTACGCCTCGGCCGTCTCCCTCATCTTGGTGAGTACCATGCTGCTCACCTCCTCCGGCGCGAACCGCTTCGTCTCTCCCTTGAACTGGACCTGTATCTTGGGCTTGCTGCAGTCGTTGATCACCTTGAAGGGCCAGTGCTTCATGTCCTGCTGGATCTTGGGGTCGTCATACTTGCGGCCGATCAGTCGCTTGGCGTCGAACACCGTGTTGCCGGGGTTGAGGGCGACCTGGTTCTTGGCCGCGTCGCCGATGAGCCGCTCCGTGTCCGTGAACGCCACGTACGACGGCGTGGTCCGGTTGCCCTGGTCGTTCGCGATGATCTCCACGTTGCCATGTTGCCAAACACCAACGCACGAGTACGTAGTGCCGAGGTCGATTCCTATAGCTGGCATTTTATTCTTGCAATTCTTCAACTTTACACTTTATAATAAATCAACAACCCTGGATGTATCTTCTATGTTCAATAACAAAATATAGCTTCGCTTTTTCTTTCTTACTGTAATTTATTACTTTCGATTCTCAATACACTCAAAATATCAGTAATTCAAGTTATATTATCGCTTCAATTTCTATTTCTCGCTTGAACTTTGTTCGCGTAAAGTAAACGTCGAGTTAGTTACTAGACTTGTTTGTAGTTTCGATTTTCAAATAAGAATGAGTTCCCGCGCCGCCGACCGAGTTTATATATTAAACGAATGGGATTCCAGTAAATTCTAGAGATTTCTCGAATGGGCCAATGATGTCGAACCTTCGAGAATCTCTGAGAACGACCAATCAGCTCGTATGAAAGAAAGAGATAGTTATATGTTTGTATTGATTTATTGGAGGAAAGTGTGACATGTTATAAAATTGCCCATATAGACGGGAGAATATTCCTAAGTAATGTAATCATATTTTTTATCTACAATACTGTACATTATAATCGTTACAGTGCCTAATGAACTTTTACATCCTAAAGAATTCAAAATACTTAATCATCATCTGCTTCTTCCTTACCCCGTTTATTTGGGAGTCGGCATAATATGTTTTTCTCGTCCATTCATCCCTGTTCGCAGTCATCTCGTTATTTACTTCCTTTCTTATCATATAATCTTTCACACAGTCCATCCAATTCAAAACTCTTAATGTAAATTAATTATTCTTTACAACCAAATACTGGTTAAAGGAGGTCCTCGATCCTAAACAATTCTACATTCTTAATGTAAATTATTATTTTTAACCTAATACCTACTGGTGAAAGAAGATTCTCGATTTTATAGAATTCTATTACATGTTATATGTTGTATCTTCTGCAAATTCTAATTTAGAGGTTTCTTTTTGCTATTACTAGCATAATAATATGATAAATAATCCCTATAGAATGTAAAAGTAAAAAATGTTTGACTTTTATATTAAGTATAGATTATTCATTATTAATTAATATATAATAATAGACAATATCTCTGTTCTGTGAATATGATAGACCAGTAACTTATCCGTTTATATCCGTCGAAAGATATAGTACTTTTAATTATGTGAACAAATTTAACATAACATTAAATTCCTGCGTTGTCTGTTTTTTTACGAAATATTTCACTGTCTATTAAAACTCACGCAAGCAAAACCGCGGACTATACTTTGTACATATAACGGAATTATAATGAAATAAATTCATTACTGTAATTAATTAGTTTGGTAAAAAAAACAATACGGGAGAAAGAACATAAAAACAATGGGGAAATTTTAAAACCAAATGTGTTCACACAGTGGGAAAAATCGAGAAGCGAAATCTAGAGACTCTTAAACAAGGATAGCAATAACTTCTATTTCACTTTAGCACTTGAACGGTGTGACCTGATTTAGTACATGTTTGCGCCTTTAGCACCTTTTTCATATCTCTAGTAACGTTTTAATACAAGTAATTTGGAAGATATTTCATTTTTATTATTTTAAAGATTAGGGGGTTACAAGTTTTATCGATTAAAAACATTGTGATGAATAAATTAGTACCATCTCAGCAATATTTATTGAATAAAAAATAGTCTGTTTGCACACCACATATCACAATAATGTGATTTAGCACTTTTTATTTTTAAATGGTATCACAATTACAGCACTGTAGTATATCCTACAATACACAGAAAGTTATTCATTTTATACGACTTCATACTCAATACTATAATATAACTAAGCTATAGATGTACCTAATAATTAATAGCAGATATGTATTTGTACAATGTAATTGCTTGGCTGAAAGGAAATTTTTAGGGCCGTAAAATACTTAATTAATCAAAGCACATACCAGTATTTCATTACGACAATAACTTTTCGTGTTCATTGAAAATTGAAATTGAAGTATCAATAAACTTAGAAAAAATGAACCAAATTGGACATTAGCCAGGAATATAATTTTATCAAATTTTATTACTAAATCAATGAAAGAATAATCGTTATATAGCTACATTATGATATATTTAATAGTCAGATTTATAACATTATTTACTACACAATAAAAAAGTAACAATATTTTAAATAATGGGAATCTGTTAGTGAAATAGTCAAAAGCACCAAAAGCAAATCTTGAAACAAATATCACGAAGACTACATCCAATAGATGTCGCTGTTACTAACATTCATTAACAAATTGAATCCAAACGGATTCTAATATTACCAATAATTAATTAACTAAGTATACGTTCTTTATATTATTTTTTTTATAATAATTAAATTATCAGTAACATTCTTTTTATTTATTTATTTATTAAAGGAAAACCAAGGCTGACTATACACATTTTATTATCTTTTATTTACTTCAATAAGGTTTAATATTTATTTCAAACTAGCTAGAATTTAATTTTATTTTTCTAAAATAAAAGTGGCCTAAGTCTCTCCTTATTACATCAGCTACCTGCCAAAAAAATATAGTAAAAAACGGTTATTTCAATATTACAAATAGACACTCCAATTTTATTTATTTGTATAGATAAGAAATATCTGGCATACAACCACAGATCCTATAAAGAGTAGATTGCAAGTAAATAACGAATACCGCCAAATAAATGTAAATCATAGACAATAATGTTTTTTTTTTTGTTATTTTTATAATATTGTGTAGGTAGGTATAATAAGATTCTGAACAGAAAATAAATATTTTTCTCTAAGGAAAGTGTTTCTCTTTATACTCGTTTTTAATTTATAATTCTTCACATTAGGTACAGTTAATGAAAATGAATGTTAAAATGTTTTCAATTAAATAATCTAGAGTCTTTAGATATGTAACGTCTAGTTAAAGGCAGATCCAGGGGGGTCATGGGGGTCATGACCCCATCCCTGAGCACAGGACCACTAATTGAACATAATGATTTTGTTTATATATGTTTTGTCACCATACAGATTTTATGTAACTACATACCTTCAATATTTTATTAATTATATTTACATAGTGCTTCTCTGCTAGTCTCAAAGAGAATATGTACGTTTATATGTACAAGTTATTAAGTGTTAAGTTTTTTAAGTGTACAATAAAGTAATATTTATAGGTACAGTACTTACGCACATTAATAAAATACATACTTTTTCCTTATATCTATTGTTATCAAAATTAAATTATAAGTTCTTAAATTAACCATGACTATATGACCCCCTCCTGGAGCCTATGCTGGATCCGCCCTTGCGTCTAGTATCTAGACAGTACCTTTTTTTATTGAGTTGTTTGAGCTATTGCTTAGACCTATAACACTGCGACCTACATAGATCTATTGTGCACGCCCTTTTTCAAAGTTCGCTACCTAGACCCGTCAGGGACAAGAATTGAAAGATATTCTAAGAAGCGATGGTTTTTATCTCCTCAGGATCGAGTGTAAACTTTCCAAAGGACATTCATTTCATTTATGCATGAGTGGGCTACGACCACGTAGGATGTGTAGTGGCGTTTCCTCTACAGCTTTCATATGTTTAGCCAATTTGCAGTGTCCAGTGAAGGCCCTAGTCAAGATGCATATAGTGTTTTTACTCAATAATCTATTGGAGTATTTGCTCGAGTAGGCCGCTATTAGGGCTTTTGAATGTACTAATCCTGCCATATTCTGCCAGTGATTCAATCCTTCCTGTTGGATAATTAGTTTGAGATGACCCAGTTTTAAGCAACGAGGCACGCCACAGAAGGTTCAGGGCCCTGTTGGGCGATTTTTGCCCCTAACTTTGGCAGTTAGTTGGCAATATCATTGCCTTCAATGTTTGAGTGTGGACCTATCTACATATATTATTTATGCTTCCTACTTCATTTAGTGGCAAGATACAGTTTCAAATAAGTTTAGATCGAATTTTGTATTAGTGAAGGTAGTACCTAATGACTGTTTATTTGCGATGATAATAAATATCTGATACAGTTGTGGCAGTAATTATAATAAAAGTTTTTTACTATCCACAGATTTCAAATAATACATAGTCTAAATCAGAGGTTCAAAAAACTTTTTGTGTCCCAGACCCCTTGCAAAATTTTTGGTTTTGGGTAGATTCATACCTGATATTGATTTTTTGTAAATTTCTAACTGTAGTAAAGTTTAGTGTTAAAAACAAAGTAAAAACAAGATGACCGCTGTCGTAGACCCCTTACCATTTGTCATAGACCCCTGGGGGTCGACATAGACCACTTTGGGAATCCCTGGTCTAAATAATCTGCAGCATCTCATTTGAACTATTTATTATTTACGATTATTAAAGGAAGTTGAAAATAAAACGAATGTTTTTATTAAGTAATTTATTTACTTTATTGATAAAATTTTATGACAATACATTATCATCGAATGGGTTGAAATGAAAACACAATAATCCCTTAACTACATACGTATAATTATTACACTAAACAGATCCACTTCCTCTTCTCTATGGTATTTGTTAATGTTTAGCATTTTCGACAGAGGGCGCGCATCCTATTTTTTTCAATAACAAATGTTGATTTGGAATCGCTAAAATTTAGCTTAAAGTTAGAGTTTAATATATTTTACAGGTCTTAATACAAAATAATGTAAACTTGTTAAATTATGATGACTATTTTTAAACATTGAAGCCACTCTTAGATGTCCAAAGGAATACTAGATGGCATTACCTTAGCAAGGCTATTTTTGTACTATTTAACGTCATGATTTACGAAACTATGTGAATATTCTTCCAGTAAATGAATTGAGCTTCCATTCCTATCTATTTAACTTAACGGATTTTGATAAAACTTACTACACAGATAGACCAGAGCTCATGCTCATACCGTCTTTACTTATAATAATTCGGTGGGGGAAAGTGATTGTTAGTAATGTGGACTCTCGACCCCATTGCTAGCAATGTACCATGTCAGATTAACCTCCACGCGGTTCCCCCTGGAAACCATCGTGATAAATTCCAGGTGAATTTATCACGACGGACTAACTGACCTGACTTTATACATGAAAAAAATCAGTGAGAATTCTGTATGTATATTATATTATCAATATTAAATAGTAGTTACTACAATAATTATTATTTGCAAGTACTGTATATCAAAGATCGAATTGAATTTCATTTTAATAACTATCAGATAACAGCAACTAATGTCTAATAGGGTTCTAATTAATAAATAAAACAGAAAATATGTTAATAAATTAAATTTATTTACAGTTCTTACATTCTACTTGTACAA